CTCTCCCAGATCATGGCTGTGGTGGGCCGAGTCCAGTGGACGGTGTCGGTCCTCCGCTATACAAGCCCGGGCTCCGGACCCAAAGCCCCCATGGATGGACCCCCCCCTCTCCACAGCAAAGCCCCACAGATCTACAAAAGAACACTCACTGACCCCTTCAGCAAGAGAATTCAGGCATAGCGCACTGCTCCCACTTCCCTCTTGGGCAGTGGGGGCTTTTTCAAGCTGCTCTAGTGGCCCTTCTTCAGTTTTCCCTGGCAAATCATGCTTCACCACCGTTTTCTACCTGTTCACCCTTCATGCGTTCGTGTCGACGACGCGCTACCGGAGACACTCTGGTCGGTCCGGCAGGAAAATAGTCACTAAACAGGAACATGCACCTAATTTAAGCAACACAAAGCGAGAAATCGAAGCACCACGTCGTGAGGCTTTGCGTACAGCCATCGAGGAACAAGGCAGCAAATCTCTGAAGTTCTGATCCAGAAATGTATGGTCGTCCACCTTGGATACAGCCTTTTGGAATAGCACGGCCACAATGATGCACCGCGGTGGAGTTGTGCACTCCGGGCAAAAGGGTCTGTTCACCAAATTGGTAAAGATTGGAGCAAACACGCTTGACCACCTTCAAGACATCCAAAAAGGTTCCAGTTGGTGAAGAGACACTGGAGAGACTGAACTTCCGGGCACAAAAAAGAAAAGTGAGTTCCACATATGCCACCGACTGGTCGGGGTGTACGTGCCAATTCAAGGACATCAAGAAGTCTAACACGGCATCTCGATCTGCGCCACTCACCCAAAAACAGCTGGGGCAGGCGATCCACATACTTCCTGATGCGGAAGTAACTCTCCACAGCACCCTGGACCCGGCCGAGCGGCTGCATTCGGTGGGCTTCGGCTCACCTGAGATGGGTGAAACTCACCTCTCCTGGGTGGGTGAGAACCATCCTCGTGGTGGAACATCTCAGCCCAAGGAAGGATTGAACCAAAAACGCGGTCCGAAACCAGCACCTAGTCTCCATTTCTTGGTGAAAGGCGGCGATGTAGGGGGCGATGTGTTCAATTCCAACGAGTCAAGGAGGAGGGAATATCACTGGTTTCCTGAAATGAATTTTCGCACCCCGATTGATGCTTGAATGATTGATATTTACCCGGATTGATCTGTTTAAAAGGGACGGAATATGACGGAATAGTCATATTTAAAAAAAAAAAAAGCTTTCTCGCAGGTATATTTGTTTTATTCAAGTTTGTTTTAGCGTTCAATTGTTTTGCTTTCGTTTCTCTTTCAGATCCTTACTTGACCTCTTCAAAATATTGGTTGCTTCCTGGAACTCAGACCTGAAAGCCTTTCTCAAAAACCCTTTTCAAATCTTTTCAATATCTCACCACAATCATGGCTCCAAACTGAATTATATGAATTGTTTGCGGAGCGGAATCATGCACAAACTTGTGCCCTGGAAAAAATGAAACTGAGCTTCCTTTCTATTCTACCACTACGTACTACATACCAAGTAATTACTACCTACTACTCACCACCTACTACTTACTACTACTTGAGAGGAGGGAGACACGAAAGGTAGGACAGCGGGAAGAGAAGAGAACGCGAGAGGCAGGAACAAAAATGCAATGTTCGACATGGTGATTTATCCCCTCGGAGGCGACCTTTCGTAAATATATGTTCATATGCACTCTAAATGTTCAAACATATGCTCTCGAAATGTTCAAAAAAGGTTCTTAGGAAAACAAACTTGCCCCATGGCTCAGATCATCGGTGAGCATTGAATCGGAACATCATAGGATTTGAACTATCCTGAAACCATAAGAGGCTCACGAAGACGCTCCCCGGGAGAGAATTGACGTGTTTCACAAAACAAACTCTAGGTATGTATCCCCTCGGGGAACACCTTTCGTGATTAGAATTTCATATTCACTCTTTCTAAATGTTCAAGGGGGTTTCAACTATCCTGAAATCATGAGAGGCTCACGAAGACGTTCTCCAGGAGAGAATTGATTTTAGAGGGGGGGGGGGGGGGGGGGTCTGAATTGAGCGATCAATTATTAGACCCGGACGTCCCAACACTTGCTTCGCAAGACAAACTCAAGGTATCCCCTAAAGGGCTACCTTTCGTGACTACTGCTACTGCTGCTGCTACTGCTGCTACTACTACTTCTACTACTACTACTACTACTACTACTACTACTACTACTACGACCACCACCACCACCGCCACCACCACCACCACTACGACGACCACAACCACGACGACGAGAACGACGATGACGAGGACGAGGATCTAGGACGAGAATAGCTATTTCTGGTGGGGCTGTCTGCCCACTCACACTCCCTCAAGTGTTTGCCCAGGACGGAGGACGGAGGACTGTGTCTGGCTTTTGGAGGGCGGAAGGTTGTGCCGTAGTATGGAACATAAAACCACCGCTAGGGTGCTAGGGCTGGCAGTGGTAGGACTCAGCACCTCCCTCTGGCCAAGGCAAACACGACCGACACTGCAGGTACCACGGCGCCAATTCTCCCTCCAGGGCGCCACGCGGCTGACGGACAACGACATCTGCGGGACCGCGGTGGGTGCGCTGATCTCGCCGTCGTTGGTATTGGTCAGGGAACTCAGCTCGCTATGGGTCGTGGCTGATCGCTTCGCTGGGTCCATCCACCGTCGTGGCGTCGGTAAGCGCGGAAAGCAAGGGCCGGTGAGTGGGCCCATGCGGCAAAGGACAATGACCCATGCACATGAAAACAGGTGTGTCACGAAAAGCCCAGGAGCATGACGTTGGACTTTAGTGTTGTTCCCAAGTTTTTTTTGCTCGAGTTTCACATCGACGTGCGCCAAGCCCAACAACCCCCCAAAGGAAAGAATAATCACCATGGTAGACCCATAGGACTTTTTGGAACCATGTTCCGTTCAGCTATATAACCAAAAATGTGTGCAAGATGAGGACTCAAGTCTCTCAGGAAGGGGCCGAGGCTCTTTAAGTGTCAGGACCCTACTATCCCAAACACTCAATCTATGTGGCATCGTAACCTACGTTGACCCTTAAGACATCTTAAAATCACCCAGATGTAGGCAAATGTTCAAAAATATTCAATACATGGATTGTTGGGGTATAGCAAGGCTCATTCATGTTCACTCGCTGTCGTTCCCAGTGCCAACCACCAGCTTCTTCAAAGTGACCATTCTGGATCAGTCTGAGACTGGGTCCCTAAGTGGTAGGCCTAAATGGCCTAAGTGGACTCAAACGATGGAATCATACGGTCACTTTGAAGAACCGGGCGCCCACTGAATTTAGGTACCGACCAGGCGCCCGCTGCTTTCCTGCGTGGCGATGTACCACTGTGTCTGCATGAGCGTGGGTAAGAGCCACATCCGAATCCGATAGTTTCCTGGCAGAACACGGAAATAACACTGAGCCACTCCATGGGGCTGCCATAGGACTGCCGAGAAACGGCCAGGGGTGGTGCCAGGGGTGTCTTTCTGGGGCAGTCCTACGCCAGTCCCAGACAGGGAACCCCTTGTGGGACTGAACGAGTCGGACGAACCGAAGAAGAACACAACGGGGGTCCGAGATGGTCCGCTGGTGAGTCCAGGTTGGCTTCGGAATTCCATCGCCCTGGCCGTTAAAATCCTTGGAACGCAGCTTGTAGGTGGGCACCAGTTTGCTGACGCCTCTCTCTCTCTCTCTCTCTCGGCAGCGTCTGGCTACAACGCAGCTGTCCCACAGGGACACGCTGAGGAAGGACGATGCATGACGCCTATTGCTATTCAATGAAAGACCCATCGGGGCTCTATTGGTCAGCATGGCCTCCACCAAAACATATCGAATAGAATCCCTACACCTCCAGTCGTACCTCCTCAGAAGGTATTGGACCCTCCAGGTACCTACCCCAGTCCCACCTTCGAAAAGAAGGTACGACTGGAGGCCTAAGAAATACAGTATGAATGAATATGATGTTTGGACTCCAAGTGAGTGGAGAACGAACACCCGTGCCCCAAATAAAAGAAGCACCCCCAACTTGGAACTGCCGGGACCTCGGTGGCTTCTATCCTCGCTCGACTCACTTAAACCAAGTCATTGGAATTCATCTATAGACATGGATTGCAAAACTTCTTCAATGTAGACCCTTGAAATCCCACCAAACATGGAGTGTAAAGCCTCTTCAATGTAGACTCTTGATTCATAAACCCCCACCCAGCGGCGGTTGGCTTCCAGCGCTAGGGAGGCGCGTCCATCGGTCAAATAAGCAATCCTCAGTGAAGAGAGAACTGGGTGCATAATGACATCATAGAGTTTAGGGTTCAGGGTTTATGACTGAAGCACGCCCGGAAGCACGCCCGCCCAACCGCCGCGCCAGGTGCTACAATGTGCACGTCGTCTGAAAAGGGTCGACTACTGAGTGTTGTACCCAAAGCACCTATCAATGAAGGTGCCTACGCAAAGGACCTATCAAATGAAGGTAGACCTACTAATGAAAGCAACAATGGCCTACATGACTGGTGCTTCTTAGGTTGGTTTTCATGTCGGCCGTCCCGATCGTTTGGAGGCCAAGGGACCCGGTGTCCGTTTTCTCTATGGGGCCTTGCAGATCTGCTCAGTTCTGAATCTGATCCAAAGCAGGTGGGACCTGCTTTGCCAGAGACCGATGGCTGTGAAGTGAAGACCCTCAAAGGAAACCCTGGACACTTTCGTGGTTCAAGCAACGAGAAGCGGTCCGAAACGAGAAGCGGGGCAAGCAAATGATGATACCGTAATGATACCATTGTTCATGTACCAATGTGGATGTGGTGGGGTACAGGATTTTGATCTGAAAAAATCCACTCCAAGGTCCTTGTCTAGATTTGTGAGACAGCCGTTGGCTGGGGGGCGGGGTGATGAAGCATGGACAAAGCCAATTCCTCACACTTGCTCGTTTTCCTCTTTGGATGCTGGGGTGATAGTCATTGACACAAGTCAGACTAGACCCGAATATACCCGAATGACGGGTTGAAAGCCTATGCTTGGCGATTCAGCTGGCCTTGCCCTTTCCATCCTTGCCCAAGCTGCTCGCTGACGGCCTCGGGCTGTGTGACAAGGTCAGGGGACATGCGGAGCAGCGTGGCTGTGAAGCCGTTGACGATGTCGAAGTTGTTCCGCGTGTAGACCTTCCTGAGTTGAGCCAAGGGGTTCGGGGAGAACGTCCCGTGATCTCTCCAAGTTGTGGCTCCCTGTTTCAGATGGAGGCCATCGCTATTGGGTTGGAGGCCATCGCTACGAACGTAACAATTAAGAAGCTGTCTATTATATAAGTAATATAATATTTATGATATATTATGCGTGTGTCAAGCTTCTTCGTAAGCCCGGGTCGTCGCTCCGAAATACGACCAGCACCACCCACGGCTACGGGCACAGCTTGCTCCGGCGTGCGTCGTAAAAGCTTCGTCTCAGTCAGAGCTCGCTAGGAGCTTCTTGCTCCGTTCTTCCCAGGTTTCGTCAAGCGTTGCAAGACATATTCCGTCGTAAATGGTCCCAGACACGACTAATGACTGCCATAGGACTGCCAATCAGTTGCGGGTGGTGCCAGAGGGGTCAATGTATAGGTATAATTATATGGCAGTCCCATTAGTCGTGTCTGGGTGTTGTAAACTAGCCCAGGGCTGGGGGAACGTCCCGTGGTCGCTCCAAGTTCCAGCTCCCTCTTCGGGGGATGGAAAAACATGGATGTGCCCCGTAGCTGACCCCGACGTCGCCGGCGCCGAAGTCGCACCAGTGCTTGTGCGCCAGTCGGCGAGGTCCGAACATAGCCTGTACCCTAGCATACCTATACCCTCCATACCGGCAGGAATAATAAAGTATTATTCCTGGTACCTTCCAGATGGATTGCAGAAATTATTCCTAGAACTCAGCAGTTCGCGGGATAATTGTTAAGAAGCATGTTATATAATAGCAAAGGTATACCTCAGGCATCATGGAATAATTAGTTGGAAAGTATATAAGAATTTTATAGTCTCTCTAGTAGGATGTCTGAAGGGTGTGGCCAAATCAATGACATGAATTCTGCAGACTGAAAACAGCTTTGCACATCTTTGCACGTTTTTTTTCTCCTCAACCCCACAAGCATCTTCTGTCTGAGTCTATTTTTTGCAAATCTTGATGATCTGGAAATCATCGGTGGTAATTAGCCATAATTAGAGCTAGCATATGCCAGCTAAGTTGATTCGCTTCAGATCTTCGGTATTCTTTGGCGGCCAGAACAGTGGTAACAAGAAACAACCACGAAACAAAAAACGTTCAGAATCAACTACTAGAGATGTCTGACATTGCCTGATGATATCTGCAACAATCTGCAAAATAGTCCTACAACCGGTCAAACTAGAAAAACGCAATGATCTGCTATTGATTGTTATAGTATGGAGTCATATTGAAATCTGCGTGCGCCGCCGGCCGTCCACCGAAACCTACGGGAAGCACTACAAACACTAGCCATGCATGGTGAAAAAGATCCTTGAAATTGGATCTATAAATGGTCAGGCTGACATCTACGATTAAATCCCCAAACGATCATCCAAATCCCCAAAATGGATGTCTGCGGATGTCTGCGGTTCATCTCTCAGGCAGTGATCGACAACGGGGCCTGTGACTCACGATACACTTGAATGAGCCACCGTTTGAACCTCGAAGGATCATCACTTGGTAGGGGGCTCTGACCTTGAAGTTCCAACATCACCAGGCGACCATACCTAAGGGTACCGGTCAAATCCGAAACAAAAAGACATAATGTGACATAAGGTTACTGTAGCAGATGATACCTAACAAAAGGAAAATAGAAAACAAAAAACAAAAAGTAAGACATAATAAGATATAATAAGATATATTCAGGTGTGAAAGATATTTATTCTTCAAGACCATGACAACTGGTAATACCCCAGAATAATTTATGCTTTGCAGCTGTACTGTCGATTCAGTACGATTCAATATTTCATTCAAAATTAATCCGACAGATGAATGGAACACACAAACCTCTAGAATAATATGATAAAATTATTGTTAATGATTTCTATATACAAAAATGAGGGCAAGGGGCGACAGGGCCTGGTATTCTTTGCTGAGAACCTTCCAGTGCTCGTGGTTTTTCAAATAGCGCTTGAAGTAGCTGGTGGATCTGGCCAAGATTTCTGGCCAAGTTGTCTGGATATCACTCCTCAAGGACAACTTGCCGTCCTCCTTTTCAAGAGGACTGAACAAGGCTTCGTAGTCAACCTTCATGCTCTCCATGTACTTTTGGATGCACTTTGCACCGGCATTGGTTCTGGCAAAATCATCTTCGGTGTAGAAGGTGCGCGCCAAGCCACTCTCGGACTTCTTCTTCGGTTCGAACGGCACATCTGCCTTGGCAACCTTGAAGAAGGCTTTCACAATCTTCTTGGGCAACAACACCTGCAACTTGTCGGACAGGAACTCAAAGTCAAAGGCGCCTTGAGGTACTTCCGCCAAAAGACTCCCACCAAGAGCATCCATGACGACGATAGGGCTCAGGGCGCTGCAAGTGCAAACCTCCTTGCCGTCCAGCTTCTGGTTTGTTGGAGTCAGCAGGCGTACGTGCACTTTGGTGGCCGCATTGATTTTCAAGTGGCCTTCTGGCCATGGGTAATCCTTCTTGCCTTTGCCGCCTCTCCAAACGGCAACAACCAGGCCTAGTCGCAATGGTCCGGCCTCAGCTCCAGCTGCAAATGGACGGCAACAAACCAGTTGGCACGACCGGGACCCGTCAATGTCAAAAGAGCTTGGCGCCAGAGACTGCAATTCGGCAATGCCGCCTGCCACCTCAGCCACCTGATCCTTGCCCTCAGAGTCATCGTTCAAAGCGTCCAACACCCGACTGGAGAAGTCACACCATAATGCAAAGCGGCTCTGTCTCATTGCTGAGCAATGAAACTCTGAGCGGGCTTGGGCAAGCTCATGTTCTAGCTGGTGCTGCAGAGTCTTCATTCGCACATGTCCAAGAATGGAAGCCTTGGACAAAATCTTCTCTGCTGAACGTACCAGGCCGCAAAAAGAAGACATGTATGGAGCAATCTTCCGAATGCGGATCAGCAATTTTGACTCATCATCATCTTTTGCAGGCAGATAGCCCTGCAGACCAGCTTTGACCAGAACATCTTTCAAAGTTCTGACTGACAGCGGCTCAACTTTGGGCTGCTTCTCTGGTTGCAATACTTCCTCATCTGAGTCATCCGGCACGGGGTCCTCATCGGGCTGCTCCTCCGCATCGAGAAAGCCATTCTGCAAGCCTTCGCTGGCCTCCAAGAGCTCCTTGTGCAAGACGACATCCGTTTCTGCCACCTCCACTGAATGGATCAACTCATGCCCTTCTGGCACTCCTGCTTGCAGTGTCTCTGAATCTTCTGCATCCTGTGGGACAATGAGAATTAAATAGAATTAAATACTATAACAATCTGTAACATACTGTAACAAAACCATACAAAACATCAAAACCACCAGCGGCTGTGAGAAATCCAACAAGATCCAAAAAGAGTATAATGAGATACAGTAGCGATATGATGCGATGTGGTTTCTCATTCTCACATGTTCTCACGTTTGACTTGTTGGGAGGCTGTCCTCGTCTTCCTCGTCGTCTGCACACGTCTCAACCAAGAGCAAGTGAGAACCCACCGATCTCCACCATTGTTTGAGCTCTCCCAAGACGTCGTTCGGAGTCTTTCCAATCTGGTATGCTGCAGCCAAGGTCGCTGCCAGCTGGAGAGCTTCTGTGGCCAACTCTGCAAAATCAGCGCGATCCTTGCCCTCAATCTTTCTCTTCGACGATGCCTGTCCAGGCACGAATTGAGGAAAGGATTTGTTGCAGGTTGACACCGGCTGTGGCCGGTGGGGCCAGCTTTTCGGATTACGGTAATCTTTGGAAAAGCTTAAAAACTATTCCATAGGTCTTCCAGAACTCAACAACGCTTGAAAAAATCACTGCGTGGCCAGCTTTTCGGATTACGGTAATCTTTAGAAAAGCTTAAAAACTATTCCATAGGTCTTCCACAACTCAACAACGCTTGAAAAAAATCACTGTGTGGCCAGCTTTTCTGATTAGAGTAGTCATTAGAAAGGATTGAGTAATTATTCCACAGGTCTTCAAGAACTCAACAACGCTGGAAAAATCAATGTGTGGCCAGCTTTTCTGATTAGAGTAGTCATTAGAAAGGATTGAGTAATTATTCCATAGGTCTTCCAGAACTCAACTACACTTGGAAAACAAAACCCTTCAGTACCAGTTGTCCTTGGTCACTCCTGGAATTCGAGGATAAGTTGTCTCTTCGGCGCTTTCCGGTCAGCCACGTTTTTTGGTCACTTTCCCAAGCCCCGATTTCACCATGGAGCCTTTGTACAATTCTGTACAGACTGCTCCAAAATACCCTAACCATCCCCAACACACCCACACACGGCACCCCGACGCAAAATGAATCGATTGGTATCGATTGGTGCCAATTGATGCCAAGTGTATTGACATTCCAGTTCTTTTTTAAATATGGCTTTACAATGCTTTACACATCTTTACACATCAAATCACATTCAACGGCACGCTCGGGCGCCCTCGGACACAGCAAGGGAAGCTATCTTCCGAAATCTACTGGTCTGCTGTCTCTGCTGCGTTGCTCAAAACCCAAGTCCTAAACCAAGCTCGGAATAGTGCTTGCAGAACTTCGTAGTGTATTCAGCGCTCCGTGCCAAGTCTTTCCCTCCGGAGACGCTTTTACCACTCCTTATCCGATGGACGGGTCATTGAACTCAGCATAAAACGATATAAAACGTTTTATGGGATACAATGATGCCTGTGATTTCAGGATAGATATATCCACATCTCCAGGAAAAGAAACATGAAGAATCATGACAGAAGATGAAAGATGATGAAAGTATATAGCTAGGCCAAGCGCAAACAAAAATATGAACAATGGATCTATGAAGGATTCTGAAGAATGGACAAGAAACTTTTTGATCAGGTTCAACTTCCTTCCCAACTTGTGTTCCAGTTGCTCCAACCTCTTTGCAACTGACCGGCGCATCGTCTCCTTCTGCTTTTTGCTGAGGGAACGGCCAAGCCAAGACAAGGTATCCAAATTGCCAATCAGGACTGTTGGCTTCTCCATGAAGTGCGCAAAGCACCCCATGTACGTGGAGATTGTCTGGAATTGAAGTTCCTGACCAAGCTCTTCCCAACAAGGCAGTGAAAACATTGCGCTTGACTGGGGCTGCTCCACCATTACCTTGACGGCGCGGACCTGGGACACTGCCCGAATGCAAACTGCCTCAGCCATTGATTGCTAATGATTGCTTGATCTGAATCTGTGACCGCTTCACATGGAGAGGACAGAAAATGGAAGACAAAACATGACAAAAAACATCAAGAACGCATAAAGAACATACAGTAGAACAGGTTGGAAAACAATTATTGATCACCCACAGCCTAGCCACTAAGTTCTCTGAGATATAGTTTGCAAGTTTTACTTTAGCGTTTTCTTCGTTGCCGCGAGGTCCCAGCACGTGGCGAAGATGAACTGAACAGCATAACCAGACAAATAAGGAGCAGGGAGGCCCTGCAGCAATGAGACCGTAGGGCAACCTTGGCAAGATGTCAATAATATATGTTGCAATGATGCCCAAGAGTGCAAAATGATGCGAAATAACATTGACACCAAAACTATCCAAGAGTTTCCTATCAGATAAACCAGTGAACAATATACTGTACCAAATCCAAGAAACAATCTCAGACACAGCTCAAGGACTCCGTACCAGCCAGACTCCGTGCTGATGTCGTGTGTTGGGTCAAGTTTGATGTCCCAACTGACTGACCGATAACTCTGTCTGCGAAATGCTTTAGTGATTTGCTGTGACACACTGAACAGGTCCACACAGTGAAGGTCCGAACATCCTTTCCAGGCATGAACATATTGGCAAATGTTTGGCCAATGATCACAAGCATAGTACCAATTCTCGGGCCCCACAGAGGACGCTGTGTCATCTCTAAAATCCTGACTCACAACGTATTGGACACTGGACAAAGCATGAACAAACGTTGACCATAGACTGATAGTTATAGTATGTTATAGTTGAAGGATGTTACAGGCCATAACAATCTACATACGATTATATACATATATATATATATGCGATTACATACGGTTACAAACGAAAAATGACATAAAATAACTCATAAAAAGTCACTAACTACCATCTCCCAAATTCGTGTGGCAACGGTGCCCGTGCCACACACAAGCACACGCAAAGCAATTTCCACAAATGCCACATGGCAAAGGTTGGATTGAAACAAGGCGGAAACAAAGATGCTTTGACTGCCTGGAGACTGCACACCAGGTTTGAGCCGGGAGACCAAAAGCACCGGACACATAAAGGTAGCATATGGCAGCGCATGTCCATATGTTTGACATTCCAGCATCCCACTACGCCCCAAACCCTCCAGTCTGTGCCTGAGTAGGTTTCTGCGCTCGTTTCAGGTGGAGAAGTTGAGCACCCTGAATCGCATTTGCTGTTGAAGCAGTGCCGTGAGACCCCCGCTTCTGCGTTTTGACCTGACCGAAAAAGAACTCGATGCTCTCCTCTGTAGTGAAAGCAGGTTCGAAGGTGGCATCTGCCGGCCATGCTTGCAATCTGGTCAGCAAATGCGCTTGCATTCGAATCAGGTTCCTCACAGTCGCCTGCGGCAGCCATATGGACCAGAGTTTCCGCGCCCTTTCCTTCTAAGCCTCCATGGTCAAAATCAAGGTCAGATAGTATGAAGAACATGCGTGCATCCACAGCTCCTGCACGTCAAAGGATCTGCTGGCTGTCCACCCTGCGAAGCAAAGAGCATTGTAGAACCTTGGTCGCGTTGATGAAGCAAATCATAGCAAATCAATACAAAACAAAATCCATCAATGAACGCCTCTATACAAGGCTCAGCCAGGGAGAAAACATGAGAAAACTATCGATAGATTCCAAAGTAAGGACACAAGTTCACAAATCCTAGGGGCTGGTACAATTGCCAGCCCGGGTCGTCATAGACCGGATCCCGTAGATAGGCAGGGTTGAAGAGCCGCCAGGCTTCTTTGTCGCTCTGATCGTCCTTACCCCGGATGCTGGATCCAGGGCACTTTTTGAAAGCCATTGTGCTCAGCGATACTGGGATGTTGAACCTTGACTGATCTTCCAACCCCGCGTGCCCAGACCAACAGAACAAATTTATTCTAGGGGTCTGGGACATCCACCAGAGGCTTGGTTAAAATACATCTGGTGTCACATCTCCTTTCACCTTCCTTGCCAAAAAAAATCCAAGGGTCTATGACATCAATTCCCGATGTCACATACCAGTGGAATAATTTTGGGATATTTTGGAACCAAATCCCTGGTGAAGCAGGTGGCAGGGAAACTGAAGGGAAACTAAATAAGGTCAATGTAGGCCTGGTAGAGACTGAGAAGCAGGAAAGCTGAGGAACTGAGGGGGGGGGTAGCTGAAAGGAGATACAGATATGGTGGCAGGATGTGGCAGACATCTAGCTGGGGAGCCAGCATGGCTGAGAAGGCACTGGGATGAGCACTCCAAATTATTCCAGGAGTCTGTGACATCAATGCCAAGTCAGTTTGTGATGTCGCATACCATTGGAATAATTTTTTGGTGTTTTTTTTGGCCTGGTAATGCAGGTAGGTGGCAGGGAAAGTAAATAAGGTCAATG